GGGGTCGCCCCACTCGCTGCTGAAGTCCATGCTGTCCTGGCGCGCGTGGTCACCTGCCGGCCGGAGACAAACACCGCCAAGCGGAGCAAGGTTACTTCACTTCTCACCTAGCCCAACAGTTTCTTTCGCATCAATAAGACGGAATCGGTTTCAACGCACGGTTTGAGAGCTAAAACAGGCAACAACACCTCAATTTTGACCTTTTGCTTATGATATAAAATACCAGCTTTTGAGGACAGTGGTTTTTAAGTCAATTTTTGATGTAACTACAAGAAAATATCGAGTTTCATCTTTTCTGGTTTTCCGTAACCACCGCACTGTAGGTAGAGGGTGCATATGGTTGCTCTTATGTAAATGGAAAAACCCTCAGCATTTAAAGCACCAAAAAATAAAATCAGATTTTCAATCTTCAAATTCTCTGCAGAGCCTGTATAACAATCTGGCCTAAGACATATGATATTTTGATAAAAACAAGTAGTCCAAACGTTGTTTTGGAAGGTATGTTCTTATTTTTGAAAACTAAAAATAGGTTTTTACAAAATCTGTATTTTACCACTCTCAGATGAATGAAATTTTTTTCACTCTAGCTTTTTTTTTCATCTGTCTTTTTAAGTAATCAGGTAGTATCTTTAAAAAGCTACTTCAGCCTTTCTCTGCAATCCATAGGTTATGCTAAAAGGCAGTACATAACAGACTCAACTTGGGGCAAGGTCTTCAACAACAACTGCATTTAAAAAATTAGTCCTATCTTCAGAACAGAGTTAGGGCTGTTGTCCATGTAATTACTTTGCTAACTCTGTGATTTTCTCTCTCCAAATTTCAGAAGCCACTAACTGGACAAATTTACAGTAGCCCAGCTCATTCCTTCTCCCTTAAGGAGCCCATACTCACACCTGCAAACTTGCCCTGACTAAATGTTGCTTTCTGCAACCCGAGTGGTGTGCAGACGCATCGTTTGATGCGCTATCATTCAGAAACGAAACAGCACAGTTGTCTTTCTACTCGTTATTTAACTCCTTGCAAGGAATGACACATCAACAAAAGAACAAAGAACCACTTGTATTTCTCTTACCACTCTGGTAGTATTTTGAATCGTGGGTCCATCGAAAACCTGTACAGAGCCCAAAGTCAGTCAATTTAATGTGACCATCACGGTCTATCAAGATATTATCAGGTTTAATATCTCTGTGGATGAAGCCCATTTTATGAACGCTTTCAACTGCGCAGGTCAGTTCTGCCGTGTAGAACCGTGCCAGATTTTCTGGAAAGACACCCATTCTAATTAGGAGACTCATCATATCACCTCCTGGAATGTAGTCCATTACGAAGTACAAATTGTCCTTATCTTGGAATGAATAGTACAGGCGGACCACCCACTCATTATCAGCTTCTGCAAGGATATCCCGCTCAGCTTTAACATGCGCAACTTGATTTCTAAGCAAGACATCTTTTTTCCTCAAAGTTTTTGTTGCGTATAAAGCGTTAGTATCCACTTTTCTTGCCAGGCAAACTTCTCCAAATGCACCGACTCCCAGGGTTTTAATTTTTACAAACATGGACTTGTCCATCTTAGCTCTTCTTAGCCGAATATAGTTAGATTCTTTCTGGCACAACATTTTTCTCATTTGATCTCGGGCTTCTGGTGACAATCCAACCTGTGCAGCAAACAGAATTAAATCTGAAGAGTGAACAGTACTCTTAATTCTTGGTGATCTTCTTACATTTACAAGGCTTAAGCAAAGCAAACCAAATACTTACATACAGCATGAGAAATAATACTTAAAGGGGTTTTGTTTTAATTTACACATTAGGATTCTATGAAAAACATATAGGAGTGATACAAAACAAAACGTGATCACTTTCAACAGCAAAATGCATGAGGTGCCATGCACCAGGTGGTTCTCGAGGAGGGAGTATGCTCTCAAGGACAGAAAGGGCAATTTACCAACTACTGATAAAACGTACTGTAAATAACACTTATCTGAGTAACAGTGTGCACCAGCTGCCTCCCCAGCTCTCTCTGCAGAGCTAAAGGAGGCCAAGGCATCCCTAGGAGCAGTGAGTTGCTGAGGGCTAATTAGGAAGCTGCAGTGGGAAAGGTTTCCACTCTCTGGACTACCCAGAAGTCACTGAACATCCTGACCATGCCAGAGGTGTTTCAGCTGCAGGAGGGAAGCTGTGCCTCTCTTTCATGCCTTTCCGTGTAGCCATACAAACCAAATCCACAGGCCACCATCTCCTACTGTCCACCCGCACCAAGCGCATGCCTCTTCCTGATCTTCCCTCTCATCACATAACCCACCCCTAACAGGGCTTCAGTCACGCTCCCTCTGCTGCTCTCCACTCTCCATAGCAGCAGCTGGCTGAGTAGAGCAATTTCTTTGGGCTTGGCCACTCCTCCCCACTGCATCAGTTCTTGGCTCCCACCTGCATACGCACCCCTATCTTCAGCGGACATCCCCAGTGTTCTGTCCAGCACCACTGACATTCTGACAGCTGAAACGCTCACAGGCCACGTGTAAATCATCACCTACAGTGTGGAAACCCTTGTCTACAAGAACCACATTGTGCATTCTCGTTTTATTCCAAACTGGGTTCCTCCTACTGTATTTTTGCTTGTTCCACTCTCTAAAGTGTCATTCAATTCCAGTGCCATTTTTTCCTTGGCAAATTTCACGGCCAAGAATCAGAATATCCCTTCTTTTTGGTTTTAATGCAAACAGAATCTTTCTTCAATTTTTTTAATATACTTTTCTGTGATACTACCCCCATATCGCTTGACGTTCGTTCCCTCTTTTGTTTTCTGTCAGCATTTTCAAAATCTTTTATGTCCCCTTTTTCATATCATCTCAGTTATTTGCCTACCTGGCTTCCAATCACAATCCTACAGCAATGACTTCCAAGTTCAACCTACAGTATATTCCTTTTTTTTTCCCCTGGACATTCTGATCATAAAATTAAACAAGGCCAAACTGAATCCCTGCAAATGTCACAAGTGTTACTCAACCACCATTCTAGAAGGTTTTAATTTCTTATTGTCACATCTTACTAATTCTTGATACCAAGTCTTGCTGCTTCCATCTCCTTAATGCTTTAAATGTTTAAGATACTGTCTGCATAACAGTACTCAGGACTAGGTAACCACTAGTCTAGGCCTGTAGCAACTGCATGTTAATGGACGACTTCTACTTTACCTGACTTATGACATAACTTGAAAAAAGATACAGATGTGACTGAGAAAAAAGGTGACAAAGGATAAATTAGATGTCATTTAGTATCTTAAAAATGCTTTCAGGAGACTATATGTCACCTATTAAAGAAAATACTGTTAGGAAATGATTTCTTACAGGCATCATATCAAAAACAAATGCAGAAGTGATGCAATTAAGAAAAAAGCATCCAAAATGCTTGTCTACTCAAACTTCAAAAGGAATACAAATTTAGTGAGATTTAAATGGGGAGGTCTGTCTCAAGTTTGAGACAATTTTTCATTGGCACCAGACAAACAGTAGTTAGGGCTGGTAGCAATACTTTCAAGGCTGGATGTGGGGAAATGGACAATTTCTTGATTTGGAGTAGGGAGTTGTACCTCTCTCAACACACTACTACACAAATACCTGGACACTGTCTTCCAGGACAGAAACATCAAGTCTTCTGTGAATGAACATGCTTAAGGTATACTTCAATGCAGAAATAGGGTTTCCTGAAGACTTACAAACATCAAGAAGACATTTGAAGACTGTACAGCCCCACTTACATGCAAATCGAACTCCACTGATCAGTTAGAAAACAGGTAAAAAAATCTAACCTAGATGGCAACAAAACCCCAGAAGGAGGGAGACACAGTAATTAGTCACTGCAAGGTATACAAATAAGACTCCAAAAACCTTATAGCTTTACCTTCTAGTACCTGCTCTCTAGCTTTGCATCCTAACAGTTTTGTTGTAAAGAAACAGCCCAAGTACTACAATTTGTCACCTCTTCCCAACCCTTCTCCACTTTTTCCCTGTCATCCACAAAAAGAAATGTTAATTGC